AGCCAGCATTCCCATGGGGGGGGGCGGGGGAGCGCTGAGGCAGGGCCTGCAGGAAATCTCGTCTCCGGAGGGGTGTACAAACAGGACCTCAAGGTGGGGGGATGTAAGCACCTGACAGACGCTGAGTGTTAATACCGAACGACCGCCTCATAACTCCTTCTGCTCTCTAACGTGCACCCAGCGTACTATGCATATCCTGTAGATATGTATCACGTATATGTGGCATGCATAAGTATACACATATATGTATTGCATAGGGCCTGTAGGATCACAAAACAAGATAACACTAGAATGAAAAAAATTAGTAACTACACTTCATCAAAGGCCTACCAAAACGTCATACACGTTAGTTCATTCATGCTGATCACAACCATATGAGGCCAGCATTATGGTCCCCATTTCACAGAAGGCACAGTGAAAACCAGAGAGGTTGAGTAACTCATCCAAGGTCATAGAACTAGTAAATAGTCCGGGTGGACTCAAGCGCACATTTATCTGAATTCCAGACCTTTGCTCCTTTTACGACACTTTTAAAGTTACATTTCTAGTTCATAAAAAAGCTGCATAGCAGAGACAGGGCAAGTACATTTATTAAGGATGGCAGGAAAGCAAACATGCCACTCCAGACACCTTCACAGTAGCATTAACCCTCCCCGGGGAGGGAACAGCAAAGAGCAGAGGGAATTGAAAGCAGGTTGGGCATGGCCGCAGGTGAAAACCCCCCTCGGATGGCAGTGTGGTGTCCGGGTGCAGTGGCACAGGTTCCCTTGTCACCGAAGGTCAGCTGGCCTCCGCCTTCTGTCTAGGACACTTAAAACTGAGGAAGACAAGCTTCCTAAAGGCAGGAAACAGGGCTCCCTGGAGGACTGATTTCTCCAGTGTGTGATAAAATATGACTTAAGGTAAAACTTTGTTGACATCACTCTAATTCATGGCAAAACTTCACACAGAAAACTCCATCGTATGCTGAGAGTGGGGAAATTAAGAAATCCCAGATGAACAATGGGGAAGGACTCAGGAACCACTTCCGTCTCTTTCTATCGACTTCTTTTTGATCATCAAAGTTGCTTTCATCTTTGTAGTGACAATAGCTAGCTTTTTAGACTATTTCTTACACTAATTCCTGATAGCTTCTATTAGGCTACAAGTTTACCAAAGAAACGTCAGGAAATACCCCTGGGTAACGCTGCATATTTCATAGTCTTTGCAACTGTGTTGGGTTCTTTCCACAAGATCCTAGGGTGTCGCTGGGAAAAAATGCCAATTGCTTCAACAAAACTGAAGAGCAGATAAGGGGCACTTGATAAATACTGCTCATATTAATTTAACTTTTATTTTTATCTAAATTTGATCTATGCCCCCCTTTCAATTTGTGACACTAATAGAAGTAGTCAAAATCATTACAAGTATTGTCCTGGCTGGCATGGTTCAATGGTTAGATTGTTGGCCCGCTCAGCCAAGGGCCACGGTTCAATTCCTGGTCAAGGGCACGTACCTGGGTTGTAGGTTT